CGCGAATCAAACAGTCACTAAAGGCTTGATCTACTGTTCTGTGCATGGTCTGCCTGATCGCCTCCTGACCCTCTGCCCTGTGGAAGGGCACTGGCTTGGCACAGAGGCCTCTCAGATGAGGTCCGAGCAGATGGGGTGTGAGGATCGCGCCACATCACCGATGCGTCGCCGATGCACAGGCGAAGCATCGGCGAGGCATCGGCGATGCATGGATTCGGAGAAAATCATTCGCATGCCCTCGCCGGGGCCCATCTTGCTGGCCAAAGCCTTTTCGTGCTGGCATTGAACACATTCCTATAGCATCATGAGAAGCAACCCAGGCGTAAGTAGATCCAGATGAACATCATCACCACGGTGGTTGCGCCACAGAATGCCTGAGACTGGGCTCCAGCCAGCCTTCGCGATCGACAAGACTGCTCTTTGGGGGGAGGGGCCCTCGTGTCTGTCCCCAAGTGCTACACAGCCCTGGCTCGTCGACGGCCCGGCGCCACCACGTAGTAAGTAGGGTGAGGGGGACTGGAGCACGCTGAGGCTGTGAGATCGCCAACCAGACCATCCGTGACCATTGCAATGCAGGTGCCATGGCAGTGGCGACTGTGGGATCCCCCTGTAGCGCAATCTTCAGAGTAGCTGAAACTCCACCATGGCAAGGCTTGCGAAACCGCCCAAAGTCGGTGCGTTGCCCGTGTAGTTCCGTATCTGATAGACCATTGATCTCCACACCGTAGGTAGCAGCTGGCCGTGCTCCTGCACGGTAGATCTTGTCGGTCCCTGCCGTTTGTTGCCCAGGTAGACGTCGCCGATAGCGCCCTAGCTTCCGCAGACGAAGTAGGTAGATCCGTAGTCGGTCCAAATACTTGGTCCTGGTGTGCTGGGTCGCCCGTCGTCTGGCACCCCGCAGTCTTGTCTATATCCTCTGAGCTGGCGACTACCGCAAGCTTCTCGTTGAGGCGAGCACCTGATCGTCGTGCTGCACTGAAGAAGTCCTGGCCCGCCTGAACCGCCTGCTCTAGCAACCCCTCATTGGTGGCACTGTTGAGGCCGAGCGAGGCGTCGTCGATGTAGGACGAGAAACGGACCAGGGGGTGGAGCGTCACGTAGAGGTCGTAATGCGCGCGGCTTGATGACCACATCGGCGTAGCCGTCACCTGCTGGTAACCCGTCTCGTGCGCGTCGAGGTTGGGTGCCGTGAGGTTGACGAAGACGAACGGTGCGGGGTCCTCGCCACTGGTTGTATATGGCCGTAGTGATCGCCATCGGCGCCCCCAGGCGCTGGAGCTTGTCGCGGGCCTCATCCAGGGAGATCGTCTCGTAGTACTTGCTGTAGTCGGCGATGATGGCGATGGTGCGGCGCCCTCCTGCGGCATTCTGCTCCGCGTCCGCGGCCAGGATCCACGCGCTGTCGATCGCGCCCCCGTTCTTCGCAGCGCCCCAGTACGGTCGCCAGAGAGTCTACTGGAGCTGGAGCGGGGCAGGCTTTCGCAGGCGCTGCCACACACGGTAAGCCATTGAGTACAGTATGATCAACCGGTATCCTCCATCAGCGTCGGGGGCCATCGGCATCACCATCCAGGCCAAGGAAGGGCCCGAGCGCCTCACATGCAAGCATGATGTCGCACAGCCCGTCTAGCGCATCGTCGCTGAGGCGCTGGGGGTGGGCAGGGTGGACCCCATCAAGGCTGCTGGAGGTCTTGGCGCTGAAGGCGCCTGCAGCCTGTCGGAGCTCGGCTGGGGTCGGTCGCTGCAAGGTGGAGCGGTCGGGAATCCAGGCCTGCGGGGCTGCCGTCGTAGCCCTCAATAGCTTCGCGTGCTTATCCTTTTGTCCTTGACGATGTAGTGCGGGTGGCCAGGGATGCCGTGCTCACCGTCGTTGACCGTTACAGGTGCTTGAACTTCGCGGACCCTGGTAAGACGATGGATCTTGCCAGCTCCACCAGCGCAAGCACCATCGCACCGCTCCTTCCAGCGTCTGTTGGAGTCCTTGTTGGCCTGCTGCATCGCGAAGTTGATGTCGTCGTCGAAGTCCTCAAGGAGGCTGGTGAGGTCGTCCCTGCTGCAAGAGGGCTGGAGTAGCCTCCTGGCCTGCAGCGCGGAAGCGCCCAGCCTCGCGCTCAGGTTTTGGCCTATGTAGCCCGTGCCGAGGAAGCCCTGCACCTCATCCTGGAATTCTTGAAGCCGAGCTGTGTTGCGACCGCCTTCATGCGCAGTCACCAGCCCTCGCGCAGCCTGTCCCGAAGCCACTTCCGTCCATCAGCAGTGGCCTGCAGCTCCTGCTCCGCGACGCTCTCGTGCTCCTTCTCGACCCTCTGCGGCTGGAGGGCGCGCGCATAGGAGTGAGCGCGTACTTCAGTGCTGGTGAGGTGCCCGATCCGATGCGCTGCACGAGCCGCCCAACGACTCCGAGCTTTGGAGAGAAAGCGCCATGCCACCGCAGCCTGCTCCTCCTTGGCCATCCGCAGGGCCTATGTCGCGAAGCTTCGCTCGAGCGACCAGCTGTCCT